GGGGCCTTTGGCCAATAGGTCGAATTACTGCACTACACCCTGGGCCAGATGGTACAGTGCGCGTAGTGGAAGTGTCCACAAAAGCTGGGGTTTTCAAAAGACCAGTTAGAAAAATTGTTCGTCTGCCGGTCATGTAATTTTACCATTCCCATTGTAATTAGTTCATTCATTTAATTTTTATTTTAATATTGTTGAACTTGGTCCTTCTTTGTCGGTACTGATAGCAGTGTTGCCACACGGGGGGTGCTGTGTTACCGACAAAGGAGGTCAAAGTATACTATCAATTACTCGTTGATGTTAATATATTTTTAAAAAGAAAATAAATGTCATTCTATCAATTCATGTCACTGCAGAGCTGGTTTTTATTTATATTATTTTCCGTTTTTTTATTTCTTTCGTTTACAAAGATAACCATCATCATTAAACAAATATTATTTCACTGACCAATTATGCTACCGCGACCCTGACGGACGCGTCGAAATTCTTCTAGCCATTCTTAAGCTGCAAGGCAGCGCCATTTCTTCGCATTGTAGGTAACCAACAATGTCAAATGAATACTTTTACAAGTATTAAACATTTGAAAGAAGAAATAGCAATTATAGTTATGCCTTGCCGTGGAATTTTTTCTAGTTAAATTTTCTTTTTTAAACATCAAGCAGTAAAATGCTTAAAAATAAAAAAATCTAAAAATATTATTGCTCTATACTGCTTATAGTTGGAATAAATACAATCCTCTCTCCAAAAATTAAACATTTTAAAGCATACCAATTGGGTCACCCAGAAAAAACATGTTTCATTTAAAATTCTAGACATTCGAACATAATAAATTGCTTGACAATTAACTTACACCTGTCCTATAACTGTTACCGTGCCAGCCACATTAATCTGACGAATATTGACGTGCCTTTGAGCACTGGAAAAACATTATATAAATGACGGATAAGGGCAACTGTTCTGTCGTATTTAGCCGTCATTTAGTTTCGTGTGACACTGACATAAAAAAAATACAATATTTATTATCGGAACCAAAACATAAATCAATAGTTTATTCAATTAAGTTCCTACTAATCCTACAATATTGAAAATGTGAAAGTTTGTGGATTTGTATATTTCTTACTCAAACATGAAAAAACTACTGAACGGATTTGGATGAAATTGCGTAAGCACATAGTTTATGAGTTGGATCCAGATATATAATACTTTTATCCTATATATTTTCGGAACCAAAACAAAAACCAATAGTTTATTTAATTAAGTTCCTACTAATGTTACAATATTAAAAATGTGAAAGTTTGTGGCTTTGTATATTTGTTACTCAAACACGCAAAAACTATTGAACGGATTTGGATGAAATTGGATGCGCACATAGTTTATGACTTGGATTTAGACATATAATCCTTTTATACCGAAATGATGGAGTTCCTGAAGTACTCTCAAAAAACTAAAGTTAACGCGGTGTTTAGTAGTTACTCCAACACGCAAAAACCGCTCAACGGATTTGCGTGAAATTTGGCACAACTATAGTTTATTTCCTGGACTGTGAAACATATGGCACTGTTTAAAGGTGTGATATTGAAATATAACAGTAATGAATGCTCTAAATATAAAATTAGGACAGCAAGATTATTATTAATTTTACATTGTATTGAGCGTTACTTTTTTAAATCATTGAAAATTATGTTTATTGACGTGCATAGTAGGTCATTCCCCAAAGACTGGACTCGAAGATGATTATATGAATGATTTATATGATTTGAATTTAGATAATAATATATCTGTATTTTAACAAAGATGTGATAACAAGAGATAGAAGAACAAGCAATCGCGAGATAAAACAATCTAGGTAGCCGTCTCGAATCTACTAATATAATAAAAAATATTTAATCATATATACTTTATTTACTCAACTGAGACATATGGTGCTTTTTACCCCGTAAAATATTAGGTTCCTGAGGGATTTTCAAAAAAACTAAAGTAAACGCAGATGAAGTCGCGGGCGGTCGCTAGTACGTTATAAACATATTGGCCAGAAATATACCAGAAAGTTTGTGGACAAACTTCGTAGTGGAAGGATTTTCTTTTATACCTTCTATACAAAAAATTATCTACTAGCGATCTGCCCTGAATGGCACGGATGAACTTTATTTTAACACAATAAAAATACCTAGCCTGTGCAATTGTGCATGTATGCTACTCAGGGACATACTATAGTGAAAGAATATTTGATATTCATACGAGATCGATAGACACAATACAGTTAAAATATTTTATCTAACGATTATCAAATATCATCAAAATAAACTTTTATAAAACGTATAATTTTACAATACATTTAATCGATAAGAGTGATACATCCTGTAGCGTATAAAAGTTGAAGGACTATTTAGTTACCATTATTCATTGACTAGTACCTAAATAATTTTACCTTCGCGTGATCGGTGTTTGTAAAATGAACTCTTTCACAATATTTTTTGCACAATTTTCCTGTTCTTGCGATTGATTCATCAATGCACAGAGAATTAGTACTAACTTAATTTTAACTTCAACAGACTATAACATAAATAATTGTGAGTAAAAAGGTTATTTTCATTTTACAGTTCTGTCGTCCTTTCCTTACTCCGTGGTGCTTTACTCACCGAAAGAAGCACATCATCACCAAAAGACGATGGCGTAGCGTTTGACTTTCACAAGAGCTTGTAACATCCTAGACTGAATAAATGAGTTTGAGTTTGTAAAGGCAGTGTTATTTCACCGTGGACTTCTGTAAAAGTAGTTTACTTCCTTAGACGAGAGCCCCAATTCGAGCGTAATATCTTTATGTCCCACACAGGGGCGTATTTACCCTAGAGCTATGGCATGGGTCGGTCCAATCGGTCCAGGTGTAAGGCTGGATCCAGCTTAATAGTATAATGCTCCAATCGAGAGGATTTTTCTAGGAAAATTTTATTTATTTTATTTAGAGACATCTATGTAAATTAACTTTGATATAACAAAAAAAATCTTTAACAGCTCTTAATGCAGTCGGTAAACATTTTTTTTAAAATTTGACAGAAGCAAAGAAAATTACCTTAATTTCCCTAATTTCAATCAAATTAAAAATACCTAATAGTTGTGATATTGAACTTTAACAGTAATTAATGCTCTAAATTTAGAACAATAACAGGCAAAATTATTAATTTTACATTGTATGGAGCACTCCTTTTTTATCTCAATGAAAATTATGTTAATTGACGTACATAATAGGTAATTCCCAATAGACTGGACTCGGAGATGATTATATGAATGATTTATTTGATCTGAATTTAGAAAATAATAATGTATCAGGATTTTATCAAAGATGTGATAACAAGAGATAGAAGAACAAGCAATCACGAGATAAAAGAAATCTAAGTAGCAATTTGTATGTTCGTGTGTTTGTATATTTGTGTGTTTGTTACTCAATCACGCCAAAACAGCTGCTTCACGGATTAGATGAAAAACTATACTTAGCCGTTTATCCAAATGAATTAAAAAAATCAATAAGTTAATATTTTATCCTATTTTAGACATTTACAAATAAATTTGCTTCAAAGTGTTAAGACTGTTTAAAATTTTAGGAATGCAGATGTTAGTTCAACCAGTCCGACGTTCCGGATAGGTGTTTTGCCACAAGCGCATTTAACAACAAAGCCTTATTTTGTGATGTCGTGCAATAAAAAAGTTAGGTTAGGTTAGGCCTATCTCCTTTTTTATTTCGAAAAAATAGGGATAATTTTCTTTGCTCCAAGAATTGAAGTAAGGTTAACTTTTACTTTAAGCAATATTTTTCAAGTATCTATAGTTAGCTAAACCGGTTGGGGTATCGGGGCGAATGACCTAAATATTTTTTGATTCATTGTTTTATCAACAAAATTTGTGGTATAGAATATTCTCAAGCGGCTAATTTAGTAAATTTTCTGTGGCCTGCATGTCTCATTTCATCCTTTTTTCTAATATAAATATTCCTAAAACCTACAATTATTTGACTAGGAACCTTCTTACATTATACTAAACAAGATATTTTCCATGAATCGTTAAGAATTTTTACCGTATTGGCAACTGGTCGGTTCAACGTTCCTTGCAGGGCACGATCGTGTCGCAACGTCTGAAGGTGTGTCGGTTAAAATTGCAAATCGTTTAGCAAGTGCACAGCACGATGCAGCAGGAGTTGAAAACAAAATAAAACAAAACAATTGTTATCCTTGAAATGGTTAAAGCAATAAACTTTGCTACCAAAGATGCTTTCTTATTAATGAAACTATGGAAATTGAGAGATTGAAAAGTATTACAGGTAAGTAAGTTAGATTAAAAAATTAAGGATTCAATGTTTTTTTAACTCGCATGCTACATTTTTAAGGCGCACCTTTTTTCCTAAATTATTTTGTAAGATTTAATGGGCGTTAGGGAAAAGAAATTTTTATTACAAAAATGCTCACAGTCACAAATTTTTCATAGTATTTTTTTAACCATGTGGCCTCATGTTTAAGTGACAGTGGTGATATTAGTAGTGGATGTTTCTCTAAAAAATAAAAATTTTTGAAAAGAAAATATAGGTCAAGGAAAGATACTAGCCACTTCTTTTATCAGGTAACTCGTTATAATATGTTTTTTTTACACCAAACTTGTTCTTACAACTTTCCCATCTGAAGTCACGGTCAGACAAATAATAGATATGTTTAATATAAAAATAATATTGATTAGTAATTAAAAAAAATGTTTATTTTTAAATAGGTACTTAAATATAAAAAGAATAAATATTTGATAGTAATTGAAGTTTTACTTACCAAATAATCACTTATAATTACAACAATATCTAATAGATCGAAAGTTATTTCATTTTTCATTAAAAAAAAACAATTATTCTATTTTTAAGCTTTGAAAAATTATAACATCTTAATTTTTTAGAAAAAAAAAACATCACTTTCGCTCTCAATTCAAATTGAGAACACATTCGAAAAAGGATTTAAGTGTTTGTCACTTACTTTTTTAAATTCCGTTACAGCAAAAATTCGCACAGCGCGCGATATAACTAACTTTTAACACGTGCGCGTTTCTCAGCAAGCAGATCTGACTGGCCGTAACGCCTCGCACTGTGTTGTGAAATGGAATTCGCAATGTACACCGGGCTTATAGGTACCTTACGGTCAAACAAAAAGAGCTTTCGCATAAGCAAGGCAGTTTTGAAGACGAAACTATCTGAACCTTGCTCTTAGTCGTCTTGCTCTATCAAAGGGATTCGAGTAGGAAAAACAAAAGAGATATACAGGGTGGTCCAACTAGTGATGTCAACAATTTTTTTAGATTCCTCTCACCTGGGGGTATCCGAAAATACCCCATGTATGTTCCGCGATTTTTCTAAGTTTTCGAGTTATATTTTTTATTTGTTTTTTTTTATGATTTCTGCCAGCGAAGTTTCAAAAATTCATATCTTATTTCGTAGTAGGTATTTTGCAGTCTTTTTTTATGACATAATTGTCTTGAATGTTGTATTAATAAAAAAAAAACTCAGCTTCCTGAAATTACTTAAAGTTACTCGCTTAAAAGTTCGTTAAAAGGCTTGAAAGTTGGAACTTTAGTTTTTAGTAGGATTTACTCAAACATTCAATTTCAATTTAAAAATACAAAAAGAACTTTCCATAGCTTCTGGCTAAAATTAAAAACTCCGATTGCTTCTAAACTACCAACAAAATATGAAAAAAAATGTGTACTTAATCAGCCTATTTTTGTTGTAATTGGCCTTCGAAGGCGGATAGGCTAAAAATCATTGAAACACGATCAAAGCATTAAAAAATATTTTATATACTTTTTAGCATTGTTATGGTAAATTAAATTTAAAAATGTAATTTCAAATTAAATTTAATTGAAATTCCTGTAAAATAACTTAAGCATGTGGAATTTTATAATAATTTCGATTTCACCACTAAGATTTATAATGTGAGTCACTAGTTGGACCATCCTGTTTAATTGAGTTTATTAAATTTTTGTTTTTTTTTTTAAATTATGTCTGCGAAAAACTGTTTTGGAATACTAACAAGAAACGTCAATACTTAAAGTTTACTTAAGTTAGTTGAACCTTGCTCTTGTAGGAGTGGATTTACCTGTGATATTATCTTTGTGACCGTTTTATGAAGTTTTTTTTATTACAGAAATCACGAACTGACGTAAAAGCCAAGGGTATTTTGAGTGGCACCTTTTTTTTTGAGTGTGTATGCTGTTGGCCGCAGATGATCTTTACTGCGTTTGAGGACAGCGAGATCCTAGATCCTCAAGCCGTCAATTGGCGAGTGTCTCTAAGGCATTCCAGGCGAATAGCATCTCCCCAGGGGGGGGGGGGGAGTCTGCTCTCCGTCTGGACCCTCTTGACTACTCGAACCTAGGGGGGTCAACTCAACTAGAGGGCGTCTCTGAGACTCGGACCTCGGCTCTGGTTAGCCGTTGTCGTTGGGGGCGGGGAAAACGCCCAAGTACACGTCTGTACTGGTATAGCGTGTCGTGTGTAGACCGGGTCTTCGCATTCTTATCCTATGCGTGCGGTGTTTGCCGAATGCTAACCTAGTGTGCAAGTTTGCTAGCTGTGTTGTGTTGGTCTTTGAGGCCTGTGTGGGTGGAGTCGGAGGCGCGTTTTGGCGCGAGTCATTTCGTCGTCGGGGTATTCTAAGACGTGCATAATGACAACGGAATCGAAGGGACCCACCAGTGGAGGACGGAAGGGCGGACGTGTGATAACTAGTGGCTTTAATTACTAAGTGTATCAGATGATGCGAGTAACCTCTCGAGGCGTCCTTCATGCTTCCTTGAGGCTTACTACTAAACTTGGCACCTCGTTTTTACTGTAAATGTACTCTCGATTTAAGAAGTGATTCAATTTATACTTAACTTTTATGAGCTGAGTTCAATTCGAAGCGATGACTGGTTCATGCGTCTTGCTCGTGATCGGGTGCTGCCAGCGGAGATGAGTCTGCTCTAACTACTTTTATATTTATGATGTAAATGTATAACACCTAATAGTAATAACACTATTTGTATTTATACTGTATGACACAGCGAACAAAACGCAGTTGAACATTTAATGTATACACATAATTTCCCATTATGTAATGAAAGGTGACTGAAGAATCATCTTTGAAGTCATTTTTCAACTTGACGACTCTGTAAATAATAAAATAGGGAGAAAAAAACAGCCCTTGTTGAGTTTCTTGCCGGTTCTTCCCCGTACAAGGTCCCCCGCCGTAGATTTACGAACCGATGGCGTAGCTTCTAGACATTCATGAGTACTTGTAACAGCCTAAACTGAATAAATGATTTTGATTGATTGATCAATTCGGTTTTGATTTAGATTATTTTTAAGAAGTTCAGAGCAAATAGTATTCAAAGACCACTGAGACAAATATATTACGTAAAGATTAATTCTCTTATATCCATAATTAAATAATTTATTTAGCTTAAATAACATAGTGACAAAGTAGCCTTCCGTATTGTTGCGTACTGGAGTTGTATCGAAACGTTTGTTTTTTTTAATGAAACATAAAGAAGCAAACGTTTGTCTTGTAAAACATTCTGTAACTCAATCAGGTTAAAATAAACACTACGCTACGAAACAACTGACGGTTGTGACGGAAAAGACTTATTTTTCTCCTAGCCCTCTGACTTCGTTCCAATTAAAAATAGATTTTTGTAAGTACGGCGTATAACCTTATTTTATGCGCGCGATTTTTAAACATAAAAATATTATATTGTGGTCAATCATCATTTTTTATCTCTAAACGAAAGATAAAGTGTGTCTCATGAAGACAAACACCTATTTTTTTCCTTACATTATGATTTTTCTTTGGAATGACCGATTCTCCAAGGTCAATTTCCTAAATAATCCAAACTAGTAGATAATAAAATAGTTAAGTGTTACTGAATATAATTAATTATTATATTAAATAAAACGTATTTTTATTAATTTCAGTAGGTAAATACTTTTTTCCTCTTTTTACTTTTTAGCTTTAAATCTTTTATTTACTTTTTCGCTTAATGTCTTTGCTTGGCCTGATGGTTAACTGGTAGACAATGCTGTCTGGCATTAAGTCCGCTAGTTGTTATATACAATAGAGAGTAAATAAATAGTAAATCTTTTACGATATAAACATAGATGGACTGAATATTTGATACTACTATTTTAAATAAAATCGCAAGTTTCATTGAACACCAAAAACAAAATAGAATTTTCTCTAAGTAATGTCATTGAATTTTCGTAGTTTGCAGAAAACGAGAATGAGTCCTTATATCCATGCCAAGTTAGTTACAGTCAAAATCATGTGAGTATGTGCATAAGTACTACAATATAGCTCCTTAATTCAAAGTATAAACCACGTCAAGCTTCTTGACCATTGACTAGGAAGCCTGCGCAGTAGCAATTTTACATACTAAACCGTCTACTGCGCAAGTTTATTTGTCTGTAGGTTTGCTCAAAACGTTTGCTACTACCTGCATTGAAGTATTGTTTTTGACAAATTATACTTATTAATGTACTTTACTATTACATAACACAGAAAGAGGTAAGAAGGTTGATCTTAAACCGTTTGTACGGGAACCGATGTCGCCGGCTCACCCCCACTACACTTTCACCTAATAGATAATAGCCAATCAAACGACGCGACATCAAACATTCGAACCAATTAGCGCTCACACCCGAGAGCAACGGTGCAATTAGAACAAAGTTTTGGTCAAGTTTTTTGCTTGCACATAACGATGGCGTGCCTGCCTCGCCCACAAGGCCCTTCTAACCTCTTTTTGTTTTCTGTGTTTACTACATTATTGTTGTCGCGCTGCGGTTTTTTAGTGGTTTGACATTTCGACATTTTCTATACTACTTGAGATGAACTGTCACGCTAATCCTGCGATGTTGAGAAAATTCGCGCTGACGAGGAGTCATCTGCTGTGATGACTTAATTTTAGTTCGAGCACACCCTTATAATTAAAGTTAACTAACTCGATAAATACTTTCGTAATTTCTGTACTTTGTTACAAATTGTAAGATGCAATTTCACAACAGCCCTTTCACAATTTTTGCAAGAAGTCGTAATTTTTGAGCGCCTCGTTTACCCCCTTAGAAAAGATTTTGACTATTTCCAATAGAAGCAAACAGTAGATTTATTCTTCCTATTGTAAGTTAATTTAGAATACTTGCAAATACTTTTTTCCTTTTTTGTACTGATCGTTCTACCGCAGCAACTTCAAACGCCTCAATCTCTCAATAATGTTCAATAAATTAGATCAAATTAATTACTACTAAATCAGAAATATGTCTTTGTTGTAACATAATGTATTAGGATTTTGATTTTCCATCACAATAATTATCAAAAAAAAAACATCTAACCTCCGTGAGTTTTCCCAAAAAATAATGCAGGTTTACTTGTATTTTGACATTTTAATTAAATAGAATTACTATCAAAAGCTTTCATCAAATTATTCTACATTGAACTACTGAAATATGTATATATTTTTATAATTAGTTCATTAATAATTATTTTATAAGACTCAAAACATCACCCGTAAAATGCATTATATACTAGTGCAAATCTACCTACGCGCCGATCAGTACGACAGAAGTGCAATTTCGTAAAAGAGCGAAAGAAAGAGAAAAAAATAATTATTTGGAGTCAACTCAAACTCTACTCCTGCCTGCTGCAGAAAAACTGCTTGATCTTATTTTTTGTAAATGCAAGGCGGATTGTAGTAAATTGTATTGTCTACAACTTTTGACTGACTATTTTCACGATAAAACTTACCGTCTTCGAGAAAAATGGAAAAAAACATAATTTTGCACGTTAGACCTTGAATTTTTTTTTTGCAGAAGTAGAATCGAAGTGGATTTTTGACATTTTATTTATAATGATGTATTTAATGTCTCTGCCAATTTTCAGCTCTATGCGAATTATTCATAAGTGAAATGTGTATTTTGACTGGACTAGATGGACAGCGAGCCTTAACGGGGGACGGATAGATGCAAGATACTTATAGGTGCACCAACCCTAAAGCCAAGGCCGGTTATTCGCAGATCACGGGGCATTGACTGCATCTTTATAAACTAGAACTAAAGAGATAACTATCACTAGTTTTTGTTAAACTACTTTTTTACTTTGGACTGTAGTGTACTATAGTCTCACTATGTTGATAATGTGAACAAAGAAGTACTTTAAATTTTGTCAAAGGCGCAAGTTGGTAGTAGGAAAAAGAACTGATAATTAAGTTATTTAAAAAATATATTTCATTAGGTGCCAATTTGGATGTGACTTTTGTGTAGGTAGGTACAATAAATTTTGACGTGAGTTTAAAAGCAGCCCAAATAATATACTATTGTTGTTTTTGGAAATTTTATTTTGAAGGAAATCCGCGTAATGTAAGAAATTTATGTATTCCGACAAAAATGGAATACCTCCTACATAAAAACATATTGTTGCCACAAGTTATGGTTCAAGGTGGTCAAAATTTTTGAAAGTTACCAAGTTAACATTACCTGTGTAATGAAAAAAAAGATTGCGTCATCAAAAAACCCTTACGCAAGATTAACTGCTGTAGAGCTATTGTAGTGATGCCATGAATCATCAAGGTCAAAGGAGAGCATTGCATGGGATTGCGCCGTCACTTTGCCATTATAAGGCGTTTTCTCGTACAAGTATTCCTAATCGCAGATAAGCATATTGCTTTGTTTTGCAGTGCACTCGCATAGTAGAATCTTCTTGCAACTCAAAGAAACGGAGCATTGAGACTGCTCGCTCGCGTTGGGAGAATACTTTTCCTAGCGAGCCTTCAGCTTACAAAAGATCACAAAAAAATAACACAACTTTTTGGTGGTGTAAAAATTTTTTTGAGTAACGTTTTAATTCTCAAGGAGCCACTAAACGCGACCACTAGTAATTTAGTTTAGGCACTAGGCGCAGCATTTAACGCGACCACAGTAAATTAGCCATCATGCAGCCGCTAGTGCGTGGCTGCCGGGAAGAAGCCGGCGGAAGCAAGTTCGGGCGAGTCTCACAGCTTGTTGTTCGAACGCGGCCATTCAAACGCTCGGTTTGCGCCGATACTCAACGATATTAAATATCCTAGATACACCACGTGCGCTCAAAATGTGTCCCAATGAAGAAGTGCTTGAACACCACTCAAGCACTTCTAGGTTCACAGTCACGTGCAGTCACGCGCGGACCGTTGAAAAGTCAAGATGCCGCAGAGCTCCGTGAAAAAATGCGGAAATTATATTAGTTGTACGTAGTGTCGTTTTTTCGAGAGATATCTTAACAATGTTTTTATTAATTTAACGCATTTGAAGCATTTTTTTTTCTATTTACTTTAAAGTGATTTAATCTATACTAATATTATAAAGCGAAAAGATTTGATTTTTTGTTTGTTTGTATTGAATAGGTTCCGAAACTATAAACTGATTTCAAAAATTCTTACACATTTAGAATCCTATACATTATCTGTGATGGACATAGGCTATAGATTTTCAAAAGAGTTAGGGTTCCGTATGAAAAATGCGATAATGTAACCCAGGCCAGGGTGTGCAAAAAATACCAAAAAATGACCTTATATCGCTTAAGAGCAAAGTGATGTATGTAGGGGACAAATATCCACAAAAAAAGTCAACGATATCAGTACCCATACCCATAGCACGAACCATTACCGAATTCGAATAGTTTGCAAATCGAAATGTCAATGTCAAATTTTGTATGGAAATTTGAACAGCAGCGGCACAAAGTGCGTAACGAGAACTAAAAATCAGTACACATTTGACAATGACATTTCGGACTCGCAAACGATACGAATACGATATTGCTTCGTGCTAGGGGTACTGATGTCTAACTAATATAGTTATGTCACAACTAAAGGTCCCCGCGGTTTCACCCGCGTTTACTTGATAAAAACGGTTATAGTAAGTCAAACTTAAAACACTAATGGTGAGGTAATTTCTTACATTTTGTTCACAATAAAGCTAAATGGCATATGAGGTTATTATTCATATCCGAGTTAAAAAAACTACTAGTTGGACGGTATTTGTTTATTAAACCTTATTAAACTAATTACAAAATATCACATTGTAGCACCGATTCAATTTGAATTAAGTCGTCCATATAATAAAGTTTCAAATATTTTATGTTTTTTACACGTACATTCCTTTCCAAAGAAATTTTACTAGAAAAAAATAATCTATCAGCCTGAATATACTTAATGGCTAAAAGGCTTGTGTGTGACAAAAACAGTAATTGTTATGTATTTTCTAGTATTGTGCTCTTAAATAACAAAAATACAATAATGTTGAATACTACAACATTTATTTCGGATCATTTTATAAAACAATCAATAGATAACGCGTACAGTTACAATGAAAGAATTGTTATAACATTTTTTTTTATCGCAAAATATAATTGTACCACACCGCATCAGCTTATTGTAAGTCAGTACAAAATACGTTATATTTAAATTTTTCTTAATACTAACTGAAATCATAAAACACGTAAGACACATGGCGACACTGATTCTGATAGTGTTATAATGAATATAAAATTATTATATTTTATTGTCATTGCATAACTGATATAAAATGACAATAAAATAGTATTGCAACAGTGCCGAAATATCGGAGACTCATAAAAAACCAGGTACATGGTAACAATCCCGTTAATAGCTATAATGTTAGTGACCATGAAAGTTTAGAACAATAAAATAATTGATACTCATCGTTTATTAAAAATACAGTTTACTAACAAAATATTCCTATAAGGGTGGGGTATAAGTGTAAGGCATTTAGCGGAGCAGTTAAAGTTATTTAATAGTAATATAGTGGTTACTTATATTATTATTAACTTTGTAGGGTTGGTAGCAAACAGAACTATACTAAGACCACTGTTTATTACAGGGCTTTAACCGTGGCTGCTATTACAAAAAATAACAGTAGTAAATATAATCGGTGTCTCCATACAAACAATGCGTTATATTTCGTCATTTTGTAAATCCCTGTTAATATCCAAAATCTAGTTTGTTAATATCTAAAATCTACTCTGAATTGGAAGGGTTTAACATTGATATTAGTTTTCAAACACCTTCAAGGATGTTGTCATATGCTTCTTACATCAGGTAAACGCTAATCTTAAGCGAACACTATAATCACACCCGAAATGAACCCTAAATCTTTTATTATAATAATAACCGATTTATAAGTTCTAATTTGACGACTAATGAGTAGAGTCTCATTTACTAATTAAGTCCATCATTACTTTTTTTTCCCAACGTTTCTGCTTTATTTAATTTATTTTAGTACGAGCCAAACTTCAAAGTGTAAGTTACAATTTCTCATACTTATTTTTCTTCTAGGCAGGCCTGTACCATCCTAGGCCTCATCATCGCTTTCCATCAGGTGAGATTGTGGTCAAAAGCATTGCCTATTTTGCATAAAAAAAGCTTATGTAAATTTATAAACCTCAATTACTTGACATATAATATGTATAAATAAGATTATATTGTTGAGAAATTTAATCTATTGACAGTTGTCTGAAAGAGCCTTCGATGCCGAACAGTTCATCGTAGTTCGTCGGTTTGCCTGGCCTCAGTGCTTCGTTGGCCTTTACGGATTCCTGGGCCTTAAACCAGGGCCCATACTCCACAAGTTTCTCGTACCACGCCTCTGAAAAATAAAAATAAAAAATCAACTTTCGCAATGCCCGATCATAAGATAGGTGACCAAAAACTTAATAATTATGTTGAGATACAGAAAGCACCGAAAGGTTATGCCGTCGGCCCCGGTTGCATCTGTCCCGTCCCGTGACTTTTGCTTCGTATTTTATCCATAGAGAAGGCTTATGACCCAGCAGTGGGGACATTGATAGGTTGATAGGTAGGAGTTCTAAATATCCATATTACTACTACAAGTTTTTCATGTTATACTATTTACATAGCCTTTTAGATGCTTGGGATACCAAAAATATCACTCGCATCGTTACCTACAATGACCCAATCCTCTATACCGACAGAAACATCGACACAAAGGTAGTGTTTTTTAACTGTGATCTGCTGTAAGTTGGAGGTTACTTCCCCAGACGGATTCCTAATTCAAGCAGAAAATCCGTTAAGTCCTACCTCTCTTACAGTAAACACATAGTCCACAGAAGCAAAAATAATGTATCTTTTATGAGTCATGTCGACTTCTTTAAGCTGGTTTCTTAGGATGCAAAAGTATTATCAAATCTGATCTAAAACAAAAAGTCGTTTAGCGGAAAAATATTTGCACGTCAAGATATTTTATGTTGGGTTCGTTATACTCTTTTACTGAGTGCAATTCAAAATAACGCGAGGTTGTTGTCGGCCAAACTCGTTTAAAGGTTTTTTACCTAAAAATGTTATTCTACATCCTTACCTGTTTGAGTGTAGGTACATACACGTGTATAGTAAATTAAGTAGTTAGATATAATATACATATCCGACATAACGCATTATATTTTTCTGGAGATTATGATAGAATTTTTGTATATGCATACGAGCCGACGGCTCAACTGTGTAAAGTACCTTCTCGATCTACTGACCACACCAAGCTTCTTGGAGGCTAACTTGGCCTAGCCCTCCATATGAACTCGAAACTGGACGTCACTCGATATGTTAATGCCAAGAATACGAATACTAGCTTAGGCAGTTAAAGGACTCTTCATAAAAACAGTGGATACGGCAAAAAAATCCGAGATTTTCCGGTAAAAGTGTATACCTGTGTCTTCGTGGGTTTAATTGGACTAGATTATTATTTCATAATTACTCGTTTATTAACTAAGAACTATTTGATTAGTGATAAGATACAATGAACAGAGACAGTACAATTGGAAAAGGTCCATTGGAATCCGAGGCCTTGTCGAAATGCAGCCAGAGAGGTCGTATGGGTGGGAAAGGAGAGAGAGAGTGGAGAAGATCACAGATCAGGAAGAAAAGAAGAAATGAATACCGAACACGAAATAGAAAATAAATTAAAAATTTATAAGAGAGAGAGAGAGAGAGAGTTATAAGAATGTAAGAGATAAAATTAGATTTGGAAATAAAATTCTGGTCTATAAAAACGCTTGCTCACGATGGGTTTAGTACAAAGGTACTGAAAACTATCAAAATGTATAGGAAGGTATATACTAGTAGTACTTTTAAATAAGAAGATAAGAATTAACAGTAGGTTGAAGCAAAGAAAACGTTACTTGCATTTACAGTCTCCTGACTTACAAATGGACGAACGGTAGAAACTTTTAAAGTTATATGGTATCATGAGCTTTAGTGAGGTCTAAGCATAAAAATTGACAGCTCCAGTTTGTATTAAAACTAAGCAGCGCCCCTACCAGACGTAAGAACAAACTGGCTCCTTCCATACAAAATTTGACGATGACGATACGATTACGGAGCTCTTCAAGTTCGTTCTTGGGCCTCTGATCTCCTAGTTTCTGGTTCTTTATGTGGAGAAACCACTTTTAGTTGAGCGTTGAGTCCCAAAGCAAAGTTTGTTTCTAAGAACCTAACGGTAGTTTTATACCATAATTTTTAAGATTATCATAACACATGACTGTAGCCCATTACACAAATGCAACATGAGCATAAGCGCAATTGTATTACTAGTTATATGTTAGACCGGTTCATGACACAAGCAAAATCTGTTCATCGCTTATCTTTATTATGTAGTTTATTATTTGCAAAGCACAACTAATTCAGCCACTCCACCTAATATTAGTTGTAAGTAGTCCAGTTGTGAAGAAATGTCAGGAAAAATATGCCACTGTAGCTATCGTGACCTGGGTGGCCTGAGCCCATTAACGACCGCATACAAGGGCACCCGCTTGTGCCAAACCCCAGTAGTAGGGAAAGTCCAAGCGAGGATTTTGGGATTTACTCGAGTGCTGGAGAATAAAACAAGGGCGGACAACATTACACCTTGAGAAGTATTCACACCATCAAACGTCCAGGGCAGCAAACAAAATTCCAACAAACGGCCATGACTTTTGGTAGCGTCCAAATCGTCAGACTAGAATAGGAGCAACTGGAGGGTTCACGTAACAGCCCTTCTCAATATATGACTCGCTTGAATATTTTTTTCCTATATTCTACCTCTTTGTACGTTCACCCCCATAATATCATCATCATGCAAATATTTTTTCCGCCATTCCGTTACGTGCACCCTCCATCATTCATTTGCACTAAGTCTTCAATTGCACTTAGTCGTTTGTTCGACTTCCAAAGGCAATCGTATATGAGCTAACGACCAAGTGTAAAGCATTTAGGAGCTTTCTCACGAATTGAAACACAACACCACCAAAAGACGAAGAGAAAGAGGATTCCACGGTGGTCTTCTTTGGAGTACTTCTTCAGACGGGTGCACAAATCCTAGCGTAAAATACGCTATTATCTTTCTGTACATTTTCATATTATCATATCATTAGCCTATTAATGCCTCCACTGCTGGGGCACAGGCCTTCCTTATTGGCAGAATAGGGAGATTGAGCCCTGACCCAGCTTAACTTGACTTTCGAAGCACGGAAGCTCGATATAATTTATTTATGGTCATCTATGCAACGACCGGCCATTGCGAAAGTTGCATTACTTCCACGATCGCAGCCGAATGCGCTCACCACTTGTTCCATCGAGCTCCCCCGAAGTACATTTTTAAACCTTTTAATTGATATTTAGCTGAACTGGTTGAGTACTTACTGTTGATTTCGTCTAGCGATCCAATGTAACCGCCATACTCTTCTGGAAGCATATCCTGGGGCACGTATTTGTACAAGGAATTTAATTCGCTATGAACGAATATCTGAAATAATATAAAAGAAGACATTAATTTATAATAATTACTATGCACAAAACCGCTATGCTACCGAGAACTAAAAGATCATGTCGATTTTCTTCTAGTAATTCTTAGGATTTAAGACTTAAGGCAGCGCCATTTTTCACATTGTAGGTAAACAGCGGTCATGGCAGTTAACGATGAATGCTTGTATTATGTACTTTAACTGTCTTATTTAAGTTAATTTATAAAAAAACAAAACTTATTTATTGACTTTTTACCCCATTTCAATTCAAATCCACATTAAATCAGACTACCTTTGCATTTTATGTTTAAAGTTTAATACAAGAAAATACCTAATACCGAAATCATTGTTGAATTTAAATTCAGAAAGGGTAAAAGACCATGTCTTATAATAAAAATTAATGTATGATTAGGTGTAAATTCCATGGTTTAGTTGTCTACAATTCATTACAACAACACAACAATTCATTACTAAGAAGTCTGAAGTTCAAAGATTAATTTTAATGACTGTTTATTATTATTTAACAATACTACGTTACAACTGTATTTTTATTATTTATTGAGACTATATGAATCGCCGTAGTCATGTAGGACGCATACATAGTGGTAAACCGTGATCCTGCCAGTTGGACGAACTGGTGGGACAACAGGCCCTTTATGAAGTTTAGTAAAGAAAAAATCTTCAAACATTTATTACTAGTGGCCCGCCCTCGCTTCACTTCGGGTAGAATTGATCAAAATCCTTTTTTTAGCGGATGCCTACGTCATAACATCTACCTGCATGCCAAATTTTCACGATTCGTCCAGTGGTTTGGGCTGTGCGTTGATAGATCACTATATCAGTCAGTCACCTTTGAGTTTTGTATATATAGATCTCAGACCAAATAAAAAGTAAAGACGGAGTTCTACCAATTACAAAGTGAAGCCGGTTTTTTATGTATGTAGTGCATTAGCCAGTGTTACCATAGTCATTTATAATACCCCAATATTAGAAAAATGTAATAACGTTATTTCATAACGTTATTAATAAAGTTATAAAATATTAGAAAAAAATATCTTAGGCTTATTTTCTAAACTAGTCCAGATTAGTTTTACACTAGCGCTAGATACAACCTCTCATGAGCCAAAGGTCATACGCCGTTCTCACCTACAAGTGCCGGACTACTTTATGGACCGCCCGCCCGCTGAGTGGGAACGATTGCATTATTTTGCCGATTTCCCTGTTATTTTGTAAGGATACCCTTCACAAACGTGTATTTGGATTCTCCATAAAATTTTATGTATATAATTTATTTTAATTAACTTACGGTAAACTCAGGAAAGATAAAAAAAGTCGTTTAGTTAGTTAAAATGAGGTATATTTTCAAAATTTGTAAATTTTATATCCAGGTTTTTTGTACATTCTATTATAACTTACCAAATAAAATTATGAAATACCATACTCCCACGCTTTTATATTACACTATATCTTTTACCATCTCAGAGCGCAAGATGCGACACGCGATAATAAAATTCTTTCGAATTCGTTTGTCGAGTTTGTAAATCGTTGCGTATTGATTGACTGCTTATGCTTATTTTTTTCCGTTTAAAAAATTCAAAGAAGGAAAGCATCCATTAACCAACCCAACAAAGTTGCGTATTGGTTCGCTTTAATTTAGAAGCATAATACGCCAAAGTGGGGAAACTGAAGCAAGTAGTTCTACCACAACATGATACATGATGGGACTTGTACAAACAATAAGCAGTTAGCAAATAAATATAATAAGGAAATATAAATGCATGCTTAAATAGGTGCTTCTCGTTTTTTTTTCCTGTGTTGTTCTCAAAGAGTTTATTGTTTTTTAATAATATATCTTAAATTAATATACAAGAGCTTATATTCTACACCTCCCACGCCGCCCGTGTGTCGGCTTCGAGATGCTCTAGCACGGGTTGGGCGTGGGTGGGGAAAGAGGGGGTAGAGGACGGCATTTATAGAAGGAGAATAGTAAGACAGTGTAGGAAGAGGACAGTGAAAAATAAAGAAGTGATATATAAATAGAAATAATAGGGGAGGTGCTTCTCGTTTAAACGTCCAACTCTAGTAACATAGCTTATTTAGCTACAACTACATTTAAAAAAATACGTAAAATGTGTTTGGAGATCTGGGGTTCCTGGGATTTATAAGTTTAATAACTGTTACACTAATAAAAGTTTAGTTAAAAAATATATAATAAAAACAAAGCTTAACCTTTGGAGTTTTTAGTGGGATTTCATGGAGTGCGGTTAGCGTCATATTTTAATTATTCTTTAATTCGTTCATAGTGAATATTGTGAAATAAAATTGGTGTAATTTTGTGTTTCAACTGTCTGCACGACTGAAGAATTATTGGAATCTTTAAAATATAAATTAACCTAAGTAACCATATTAAGTTAAGCAATACCTTTGGATATGCATTTTGTTTTACACGACGTAACCCTTGTGTTGTGTAGTACAAATCGTCGCTCTGAAAATGAGTCGAACAAACCAAGCTGCGGGAAGCTGGTTGCCACAATGGTTCATTTCTACTCTTACGAATGACTGCAATCCACTTCTCTTTTAGATTTTGATCTCGATTAGGAAATCTTAAAAAAATCGTAAAAAGTAACGTTACGTTATATTTCACGCTACCCAACAAAAGGGTAAAACTGTAACGTATAATCATGGCAGCATTTCGTTCAGGTTTTGTTTACAAAGCGACAACCTCAAATTTGATTTTGATTAATTGAAAATATTAGTTTATAACTTTATTTACGTATGAAATGTGATTCCATTCTGTTTTTTATTCTTGGAAGATTGGTTTCTACACGTTTTCACTACACAATTCGGCATTTTCTCTAATAAATATTATTATTTATTATTACGTCATACTCCGCGCGCCGGGATAGCTCGACTGGGAAGCCAAGGCGTAGTTTCGTTGCATGTGTGTGCGTGTAACTGTGTATGTACACGACGAGGCGTAGTTTTAACGGCTTCACTTTTTTGTTCGGCAGACTCCGTCTTTACTTTTTATTTGGTCTGAGATATATATTTAATTTCTAATACCTTTACTGAAGATGACTCATTATTACTTAAAAGAATTAATCAAAATCATTTAGCGTTGCAACTTACTCGGTTTCTGATCTTCTCCTTGAGGAATGGCTTGATCATGTTCAAGACGGCTTCAATAATGGAACCAGCATTAACTACATGGACTTCTTTTAGTTTCACGGGATACGCTTCCTGGAAAATATTGTAAGTATAACAAAAAATTTATTTTATTATATTTTGAAAACAAAACCAGCCTATAGGTGGGTTCACTTTTATAATATTTTACCGAACATTAGTATCAGAAACACCTCAGTCAGTACCTATTAATGTGGCGTCTTTTGTTATTACGATTCAATCCATTCCGAACATTGTAAGTACTATGCGATTCAAATAAGAATAGGAAAGCCAATGACCTCCATCTGTTAAATGTCGCTTGAAAAGTACGGCCCTCTCTACCTAACTGGTTTGAATTGACAGTTATGACGTCACAATATGGCGCCCAGTCGATCCTATTCTTAGTTGAATCGCATTGTAGGTAGTTTCGTATTCACTCGAGCTCGGCAGAATAAGAAAAGGGGCACAAATTTGCACCTAGTAAAGTACTCCCACCATATCTGAGCACTCTATGTACGGCCGAACGTGCAGCAAAAAAAATCAACATACGGCCATGACTTTTGATCGCGTCCAAATCGTCAGTCTTTTGAATAAAAAACCTTCAGATCAATATTTTTACGTTCTCACAAACTTTACCCTCCAGTACTTTCTAGTGTGTAGAGACAAGCCGATATTGCCCCGACCGCCGTGCTTGCTAGATTGGCCCTGCGGTAGGGATGTCAGTAGCCCGCTATATCTTTCTCAGGTAATGCATTCCGCTGTGACATGATTTATCATAGTCGTATGAATAATGAACCTCACCTGTACGCATATAAGAAAGTTCCACCTTGGCCCGATGGCCATTGGTCACGATGTAAGCGTCCAGAATTTACACCCACGAACTCCTCCCGAAATTTGATGCTCTAATCAGCATGGTGACCTTGAAGCCGTCGTACTACTGTACGTCGTAGGTTTTGAAGAATTCCTATTTCCTAGGTGGTGAACTCCTCTGTGGTGTGAAAGATCATAGTTTTACCAACTTTGAACCTCACCTGTACGCATATAAGGAACTTCTTCACCGCCGTTAGCGACAACTTCGCCAGATGTCCCGTGGACACGATTGAAGCGTCCAGAATGTACACGTCTCCAGCTACACCTTCAATTTCTTCCCTGAGTCTGATGTCTCCGATCATCATGGCAACCTTGAAGCCGTCGTACAGATGGTGTGTGTCGAGGTCCTTATCTAAGCCTGGAATGAAAGGTAGAAAGAATGAAAATATTAGCCTTTACATTACATGATAGGTTCCTCCTAGGAAAACATGTTTCATCTTAGACCTCATAAACATTTTCATTAAGCAGTGCGAGGCCGATGGCAAGTCCATATCCAAATAAAGAGATTACGTTTGTGAGATTGGAGGGGGTAATAATCTTTGGATCTACTGAACCGATTTTGAAAATTCTCTTACCAGTAGAAAGCCACGTTATTTGAGAGTGTTATAGACTATTTATTAGAACAAAAACTAGGGTCGTGGTGTCCAGTCTATTCAATCAGGCTTGACATACTCTTGTTTGCGACCCTTTTAGAATAATTTATGTTGTAAATATTAAAAGTGGCAACTTTAGATTAACAGGACCAAATTATGCAAAAAATGGCGACTCTGAGGTGTCTGTGGCTAAGATATAATAATATATATACATATATTTATTTGTACCATTTATTTTCAATTTACCTCTAATTACGACGACTCTGCGACCGTTCGGAGTAAGGCCAGGTAGTGGGGGTCCTTGCCTGTAAAAATTAACATTAAATGCATAAGTTACAATGTCACATAATAACATTAACAATTGCAGCTCTATATAAACAGACCCATGAATTCGTTACATCAAGTATACCCGAAATAAAAGTACAATCTACAATATCGTTTATTCTGCTAGGCCGTTATAAATTATGGAAGCCCAATAGCTAAGCCATCGGTTCGCAGATGTAGAACTGTGGATATAGTCATCTACCATTACAATTTTTATATTGTTTTCATAGCTATATCACACAGTACCAGTAGTGTAGTGTGTACACGATGAGCCGAAATTCCTTGTCAAGGAAACCTACTAGTATTTGTCCAGAATTTATTTAAAATTTAGCATAGCGTTCCCCACCCCCCATTCGTGAGTTTTTTGAGCTCGGGTCTGGTGATGTTCTGTTGCTGAAGAACTCAGGGCAAGCGGCTCTTATCGTGAAGTACATGTCAACGGCACCTTGGCCAGATATTCCGTGGACACGATGGAATAGCCTAGAATGTACACGTCTCCCGCTACATTTTCGATCTCTACTCTGAATGTGATGTCTCCGATCATCATAGCGACCTTGAAGCCGTTGTATGGGTTTATGTCTAGGAAGGTCTAAAGGAATTTTTTTCCTCCGAACTGGATGATCTTAACCCGATTGGGGTTAATCAACTTGGTCGGGCTATATGATTGTATTGCATCCAAATTGCAGTAACGCGATATAGCATACTAGAAAAATACGTTCTTTCCACAACTTACCATAGCTCTATTTCAAATAATGCTCAACTTTGCACACAATGCTTCGTTCATGAATACTACTTGCATTTACCCAGTTTTTTAATTTTTAGAATTTAGCAAGTTCTTTCTCACCCGCGATTCATAAGCTCTTTGAGCTCGGGTCTGGTGATGTCTCTGTTGCTGAAGAACTCAGGGCAAGCGGCTCTCATGGTGAAGTACATGTCAAGCTTCTTCTTGCACCTCTCCAAGGAGAAGTTGCAGCCCCGCAGGAAAGTCAGGATGCGGTCACTGTCTGGAATATTCATTGAGGTAAAATTAGACCTACAGCACAAACAAGTAGCTTTAAAGGACATTGTTCAGCGTCCATGCATAGTTAGCCTAAGAATCAACAATCATGAAATATTATTTTCTAGGTTCAAAATCGTAAGTAAATGACTGTAAAAAGAAAGATTATTGACGGACACTTCTGAGAACTTAAATTATTAGGGAAACTAGAATTTTTTTGAGGCTATGTTTAATATTCAATGAAACATAGGTCAACCTACGAATTTAGTATGAATTCAGTTTGAAGCGAATTGATAATACAACTAATTCATTTTATTCGGTGCGATTTCAAAGAATAACTATTAGGAAAAACTTGGTTAGGTAGGAAAAATGAATAAAATTAAAACTAGTTTTGCTCCTTGTTTATTGACTATTTTTTTCACATAATTCTATCATATTGTTTATTGTATTTATTTGTATATCACATGTATATTGTGTAAATATGCAGCGTGAATGTGTATCAGGTGTTCTTGAATAATTTGGCAGTATGATCCTCTCAGGATGTTGTGGCACAGGTTCACTAGCACTTGGTAATAAGGGTTCTGCTCTTTGGTAACATCGATGGCATATTAGATAACCGAAATAGTTAAATTAAAGGAAAAACAATCGCAAATAAACACACACAACAGGTAATTCGAAACGAGAATGCACTTTCCGGTTTATTAAACTACTCTTTGGAATGCACGAATGCCACAGATTACTACGAATGCAAACTGCATGCACCACAACCACAGAGTAACGAGTTTTATGCCGGCACTTCACTTGACACCAGTTTGTCCTTGTCATGCTTAATAAGGAATGAAAAGGACAGACTGATGTCATGTTTTAAAATAGCAAATACGAATAGCCAAGTGAAGTGCCGGCATTAGGTAGAAAGAGTGTTTTGTTTGCAGCGCTGTCATAGATTATACACATAAAATAATAATTATTGTCTCAGATTATTTTTTAACTTTTTAATTTAGCTTACTTAACTGGAAGTGTCCGTCACAATCTAAATACTGATAATTATCGCAAAAAATATACTAAGAATTATCATAAATGCCAAATTGGTGTTGCTTCTTAGGCCAATTTTAACATTGTCCTTTACCGAGTTTCTTCATACAATTCATTTAAGTTATATTAATAGCGGGATTGCTGCCATGTACACATACATTTAATAAGTATCTATTTTTAGGATATACCTTGTTGCGCATCACCGTGCCATATTCACGGAGTAAATTCGCAAAAATCAAGCTATATACATGATTGCTATTTCCTTGATTACTTATAACGTTAGTAACAATAAATGTTTAAAATTGATAAAAATTGTAGAAGGATGTGATTGACACCAACTCTAGTATTAAGTAAGCGTCTACAGGCTATGGGGGCGACATAGCATCAGGTTTCAAGCATTGCAAGCGTTTATAGGCTACGTTGGCGACATACCTACCATCATGCGTGCAGTATGCTTGTTTGCTATACTATATTAATAAACGACATACCCCAATCATCAGGTAGGTGAGGTTGCTTCCTCAGCCACTCCTTGATTATGGCGACGTCTTTGTCTCTCGTGTTAACGTCCTCATTCAGTTCCACCCGAATTTGCTTCCACATTTCACCTGACGGCTGGACAAGAGTCGCCACAGACGCCATCTTGTTCTGAAAAACATTATTTTTGTATGTTTTATAAGGATGCAAATGAAGTGCAGTGCTTATAGGAATTTTAAACAAATGAATCTGTTAATGAAAATATTGTATACTAGTCATGGTTTTGATTATATCATGGATATATTTATCGATTGACTTGTCTGAGACGACAAATGCAGTGGAATGTTTTGGAGCCTCAATTAAGTAAAAAATAATAATGGTGATTATATCAAAGTGATTTCAATTAAATAATATAATATACATGTATATGTGTGTGAATAAATATATATTGAGTGTGTTAAGGGAATAAAAACTATTGCCTCATCGTCGTACCGTCGATGAAGTGGAGTTTAAGTAATGTATAAAAACGCCGATATTTTTTAGTTCTCAACGGTATGCTGTAGCTGAAATGTTATGCCGTCACAATTGCAGACACGTCGTACAAATGTATGAAATACCAATTACTATGAAACAATAATCTCTAATGCTGGACTGGGAGCAATGAAAACCTGTAACTTTCATGATTCAGTAAAAATCAAGCATCGGAACAGGATCATTTCGTAAAATATTGTTTAAATTAGGCAGTTGCCCTACCGCCGACGAGGAAGTGACTAACTATCGGCTATTTTCTCGCTCAAGAAACGTTGAATAGATTTAAACAATCCTTGTAAATATAAGAGATGCATATATTAACAGTTGGCCGCTGACTATTCACACTGTCGGCGAAATCGCTCTCCACTACTCTCAAAACGTGATGAGTGGAGCAAGTGAAGCGGTAATCACCCATAAGCCCAGCGTTAAAACTATCGAAACTACCCACTCGCTTCCCGCTGCTTGCCAACTCTTATTGTGAGGTTACATAATGCATTATATTATAAACTAGTGGCCCGCCCTCGCTTCGCTTCGGTGTGGAGCTGTAGTGTAGACTATAGTTTTTGTTCTCAGGCTTGTATTATGAATTTCTTTATATAATTATAAACCTTCCATGAATATTTACTTAACTGATAGTGAACATTTTGTTACGTGGTTTAGGGACCTGTTGTACCAAATGCACTATTTTTTTGTTTGAACGCTCAACTCTTCGGAACTCATGGTCTGATTTGGAAAAATCTTTTTGTGTTAGATAGTGCATTTATTGAGGAAGGATTAAGGCAATATAATATTACGATGTGACCAGTAGAAGCGGAGCGGAAAATGTTGCAAAAATTTGTAAAAATATTCCATTTAAGAAATTCCGTTGCGTGCGCTGCGTAAATGATTGAATTTACACAAAAATCATGTATATCGGAATTGTTCCTCATTATAAGATCTATAAAAAGAGTCTGCTACAGCATAATTATGCCTTTCTTTTAAGTTTGACTCACTATAACCATTTTGCTCAAATTATTGCGGGTGAAACCGCAGGGGATCCTTAGTTGTGAACTTGTGACATAACTGTAATAGTTACACATATGATATTGCGGACTTTTTTGTAGATATTTATATTCTCTATAAAACTTCAGTACAGCAGTTTGCTTTATTGTCATTGACTTCCGCAGCGTAAACGATATAAGGTTATTTTTGGTATTTTTTTCACACCCTGGGTTACATTATCGAATTTTTCATACGGAACCCAAACTTTTTTGTAGGATTATAATGTGAAAGAATTTTTTAAATCGGTTCAGTAGTTTCGGAGCCTATTCAATACAAACAAACTAACAATCAAATCTTTCCTCTTTATATAATAGTATAGAATATCTGTCTAATATTTTTAATATTTGAGATCAAGTGAATGATGCGTTACAACATCATAAAATAATAGTACAAGGCGTTACTTACAAAAGTAAACAATATACGTCATGACGTGTTATTTAAAGTTTTCAAATAAATATGATATTCGTGATTTTTATTTATAGTGCTGTTCTGTGCTATGATCGTTGTGTTACTGCTTAATATAGTAATTTTTAAATTCATTTTCACGGAACTATCAGAACTTATTTCATATACATAAAAATAACTAGTCTATTTGTCCTTTATGACTTTGTGTATAAATATTGATTTTTCACTAAAAAGACTTTTTATTGTGAACTTATATTGTGATGATGCAATAATTCCGCAAAAAATCTATTATTAACACGCTTATCAAGTGCGATTGACGTCAAAAATGGCATTCGTAAAATAAAACCTAAAGTACCAAAACTCCAAGTTGTATATGACTCTATGTTAAAACAACTAAACATATATTATACTTGAAGACCGGAACCAACAGACAAATACATTATGTTTGTTCCGCTTTGTTCAGTGTGTTTTAGTAATTCATGAAGATGGCAAACAAGCTTCCAGGATCTTTTTTTTGTTCTCAGAATAGTTTTTTTCAATACGATCTTCACATCATATATTATGTGTGGGACAGAAAAGATCCGGTTGCTTGACAATAAAATAAAAAAGACTAAACGTCATGTCCATATTCACGTTTCAACTTTTTTAAGCTACACTGTTAATTTATTTCTCCTTATTACAAATCTTTGACTATCCATCTAAAAATTATAATGTCACTTTTATTTGCTTTAAAGCAGACAGAGACAGCATCAGGGCTTAAACCAAGTCTAGCTTAATTTATATTGTTTAAGCGTTGCCACTAGGCAAGTGACTCTGCTTAACTTTTGATTTGTCTATAATCTTGGCATCCACAAAGTGTCCCCTGGAATACCTACTTGATGATTGCATGTAAGCATTAATAAAAGCTTTTTATCGAATGAATGAATATATTCTTTATTGTACTATGGACAGTTGTTTAGAAATACAAAAACATAGGAATCTTAACACAACAGGTGGCCTTATTAAATAATCTCTACCGGGCAATCTAAAAAACCGAAGTTTTCCAAAGAGGGCTAGTGCATTGTAATATTAACAAGTTAATATAAGCACAAAGTTAATATAAAGTAGTATAAATAAGATAAAAAATATAATACAAAGTAATTTACACTGAATTTGATCATAAGATCAGGCATTCCAGCTTGAGGACATAGTCCTAAAATTTAATAACAAAGAAGTCCCTTGACTGCGCACGTTTGATATCCACAGGCAAGGTTCCTCAATTTTATAGCTCAAAAAATAACGACTTGGCTACGAAATCAGTAGAGTAGAATGGGATAACTAAGGGTAGGTTATGGCAAGATCCCAGATCACGGACAGAATACAGATTGAGGAATAAAATTTTCACATCCTTTGCAAGAACTTCTCGTTTTCAACCACCTAATTTACACTGAAGTATGAGGATTGTGGCGAGTGAATTGAAGATGTTCATCGTATTAATATCGTTTATCTTCTCATATGCACCATATTATTTTAATAACTTGAAAATCTTAGAAAAAAATTCCACTATTTTCAATTAAAAAGTTAAAAGTATAATATTTTTTTTTCATATTCAAGGTTATACAATAACATTATAAACAAATACCATTTTTATGTTATCTGGTCGTCTTTCCGCACCTAGCTTTCGGAAAAAGAATATACTTAATAAAATTAAAATCCATTTTATTTAAATAAAACGGCGATTTTTTTTTATTGCTACAAATCCCATCAAGAAGAGCTTGAATTTTTAAGCAGTCTAAAGGTTGACGTCAAGTTGTTATTACCACTTAACACTATTGCTTTGTGCGTGGGAGTGGTAAAGTCAATATTGTAAATGTAAGAGTATATTTTAGACATTTAACGTCTAATAAACTACATTCAAAAAATGTATGGTCCACGTTTACTGAGTTAAAACTTTAAAAATAATTCGTCGGTTTTTGAAAATTTATAAAAAGCACCAATAAAGAGCAACATAAGCCCTCAAAAACATTAATTTATTAAAGACCGATTCCATTCGAGAAAACATCTGTGGAGGATAAGGATTGTATTTTTAGTTATTATTAGATAAAAGAAAACAGTGGTGGCAGTGACAAGGTAAAAACAACCAATTTAATGACAAAGAATAACAATCTCAATAAAAAAAGTATCAAAAACGCATATACAAAACATAGTGATATAAAAGGTGCGCTATCCGGCACAACATCCATGAGAAGAACTTCTTAAAAATGAACTTTGGTGCTGGAGGTTAGTGATTTATGATGCAAAAAAGATTACTACAAAGGCAATGAACAGGTTTACGTTTTTGTATACGTATTTGTTAAATATCTCGCCAGAAATAATCTCCAATTCAAGGTTTGAATACTGTATTGCTTTATTTAAACGTACTACTCTATGAATTAAGTTAATTCTTTATTTATTTTATTTTTTAATATCGGTACGATAAGGAAAAAGTTTGCTTAAAAGAAAACCTACTTTTTCTTATTTTTTTTAAAAGGAAGTTTATTACTTTCCTCTTACAAGGTTTACGTCCTTAAAGATAATTAAAACACCATCCCCCTTATTAATAAACGAGGAATAAGCTTAGAATAGTTACGCCGTGGTTTGTTCATATCCTTAGATTAAAACAAATTTGTTTTATTCTAAATTCATATCACTCAAATACCATTTACAATACATGGAATAACTAGTCCAAGCTTATTCTTCGTTTATTAGTAAGGGGGTAAGTAACACCCCCCCCCCTGGGTTAAATTTTTCTATTAGACGAAAATAAACTTTTTGAAGTTGACGACCTCCGTGGCCGAGTGGTTTGTACGCCGGGTTTCATGGTGACGCCGACTCGAGAGGTCCCGGGTTCGAATCCCGGTGGGAGCAGATGTTTGTGTGATGAATACGAGCATTTGTATTCCAGTCATGGTTGTTTAATATGTATTTCTATATAAATATACTTATATAATATGTACTGTATATGTATGCTATCCGTTACCCTAGTATCCCATAACACAAGCCTTACAGTGCTTACCTTGGGGCTAGGCTAATTGGTGTGAGTGTTGGAAATATTTATCTATTATTATTATTATTATTAAGTGAAACTTCTTTACGCACGTTTGACTTAGGGAGTAAGATGGCGAACGCGTTATGAAAAGTGTGATCGGGAGAGGCGAACGGGAGTTAGTAGGGGG